ATCCCTCCCCCCACCCACCTTGCTGAAGCCGTCCTTGCTCAGCGTGTCGACGTTCCATGGCATGTTCTTCTCCTTCTTGCGCAGCTCCTCCATTTTGCTCTCCCAATTCCTCTCCTCATGGCGCAGCTGCTGAGCCTCCGCTTGCAGCCTCTCCCGTTCCCCCCGGACCCCCCCGGATCCCCCCCCGGGCTCAGCCACTTCCAACTCTTTTAGTTTCCTCTGGCACTCGGCGAGTTTCCGCTTGCATTCCCTGCAGCCCTTGTCCAGCTCCTCTTTCTCTTTCTGGAACTGTTCCATCCTCTCCACGCGGGCCTGGAAGTTGGGGGGTGGGAGGTGGGAAGGGGGGGGGTCGTCTCACGTTTTTGGGGTTTGGAGGGGTAGGGAGGAAGGAGCAAACTTCTTGCCCCCTCCCCCCACCTCCCCATCCCAGTGCATCCAGTAGGGACAGCACTGAGCAGGGATGACTTTCTTGGGAAAAATGGGGGGAAGGGTTGGAGGGGGGGGGGTTCAGCCTCCTTCCCCAAGGAGGTGGGAAGGGGGGAGCGCAAAGTCTGTTCTGTAAGACAACTCTGGGGAGGGGATGGTGACCCCCATGGGGACAGTCCTGGGGAGGGGATGCAGAGCAGCATGGAGACCCACGCAGGGACAAGATGGGGACCGCTGTGAGGATGGGACAGGGACAAATCTGAGGAGGGGGTGGTGACCCCCACAGGGATGGGACGGGGACAGCTGTGGGGAGACAGCGACCCCCACGGGGGGCAGCTGTGAGGAGGGGATGGGGACCACCGTGGAGACCCCCATAGGGAGAGGATGGGGACCGCCATGAGACGGGATGGGGACTCCCATAGGGACAGCCCTGCGGAGGGGGGGTGGGGACCCCCGTGGGGACAGAATGGGGTGAAGACAGGGACAGGATGGGGACAATGCTGGGGGCTCACACGGGGTCTGGGATGAGGACAGGAGGGGGTCCCCCAATGGGGAGAGCCTCAGGAACCCCCGGGGGGATGGGATGAGGACCCCCGCGGGGACAGGGATGGAGGGACGCCCCCATGGGGATGGGAATGGGGGTCCCAATAGGGACAGAAGTCGGGACGGGACTGAGCCCTCAATGAG